TGCAACTACGATCCAGACTGGGGGCAGTGGACAATACTCATGCCCTTGTTCAGGAACTCCATTCTCGGGTGTCTGGTCTCGCGGGAATACAGCATGTTGGCCACGTGCGAGGGCAGCTGCACGATGTCTTGGATGCTCTGCGCGAGATACAACAATCGCTCGAAGGGATGAATGTGGACGGGAGTGCCTCGTCTTCAGCGCTGCCCATCGTCCGACTTGCCGTTCCTACTGGTACTGAACTGCAGCTGCTGTGATACATTCGAATTCAGCATAGGCAATGGACGAGAGTGCTTTGTTGTGTTTGCTTTTGGTTCTTGTTAGCTCGGGTCTTCGTTCTTTTGGTGTAGCCTTCACACGCACTCTTCGCGCCTGCTGGAGAATTCCTTGAATTTACTGATTTCCGAATTTGTAGCCATGTAGCATGTTGGAATTTGCAGTTGTGCGTGTGCAGCCGAGTAAAAGCATGTGCCGCCGCGAGCTTGCCAGCGCATAGGGGATGATGCGATGTTTGGAAGACGATGTAGGTGATACCTTTGACCCTCGGGACCAGCATTTTCTGCCCAACACTTGGTATCCACTGCCCGTCCTAGCACTGCTTCCTGTTCCTGTCTCTAGCCTGAGCCTTGGCTGCTTGGGGGCCGCTGGGCTCGATTACATGATCGACGAGGCGCGTACTTTGGGCAGGGTTTTCAGGGTTTTCTTTGGGTTCTTGGACGTGATGCTTGTGACGAGGGCCTTTTGGGGTACTTCTGGGTAGCCGCTTCTGCCACATAAAGATACTAGGACGCATGCTGCTTCAAGCATCCCCCTCCTGCCAGCTCTAACGCCGCATGCTTGCGCAGCTCCTTTGGCTGACGCGCCCAGTAAACTGAAGGCTACAGCTAGACTCCCGTGCTGAGGCGCCATGTCTGTTGCCTTGTACCAGGCTCAACACCGCTTTCCCGAGGGAGGCGAGGATGGGCCGGATCTCACCGGAGTATGGTGCATGCTCCTCACGGGTCTGATGGGAGCCTTGTTGGCTGGTCTCTTCTTCCTTGGCCACTACTGGGGGTGGGCCCTTTTCCCCTGCATGCGACGTGCGGGGGTCCAGCAACGTTTGGACGATTTGGTCCGGGCCGTGCAACAACTGCAAGCGCTGGTTCATGCTGAAGGCTATGCCACCCGCAGTGCTGGCGCGGACGCCCTTCAACGGGCCATGGGCCTGCTTGACGTGGACGATTCCCTGACTCGCATGCTCAATGATGGATTCGAGGACGGCCGCAATCGTCTGCAAGCCATCATGAACAAAGTCATGAAAGTTGGCGAGGTGGCCAACACAATCCATGCCATGCACGCGAATTTGGGGAATACCCTTGCAAGCCACCAGCTGGAGCTTCAGAGAACCATCCAGCGTGCCAAGGACGACCTCAAGCAAGCCTTTTCCTCTGCTGGGTCGAAACTGGCGGGCAGTGAACACAAAAGCATCACAGATGCTCTCAGTGCCATCTCGGCTGCCCTCGAGGAGGCCAAGCTCAACACCTCTACAGCTTTGGATGCGGTGGCCAAGAAGATGGTGAAGGACTATGCGGACCTTCAACGATTCCTCACTCCGCTACAACGAAACCAAGAGAGTTTCTCCACGGGCATGAACGGGAGGTTCGAGCAGCTCCAGAAAGACCTCTCAGGCATCTCCTACGCCTTGAGCAAGCAGATCAAGGAGCTCAGTGGACAAGTGCGATGGGCTCAGCAATCCCTGGATAGAATTCAGGGGGACAGCGAACACTTGCCAGATAAACTCAATTTTCTGAGGGGGCTTCTTGAGGCGGTCAAGGAACAGCTGGAAGTCCTTCAGAAGGAGATCGAAGCTATGAATGCGGAGCCAACGGCACGCTCTCCCACTGCAGACCCGGCCACAGCTTCAGGACCAGGACCCGCCGCCCCACCGCCTCCGGCTCCGGCGGCAGCGACTGCGGGTGGACCAGGGCCCACGATGCTGAACCTGGACGAGTCCCTCCCAATGGTGAGCCGCCAAGGGCAGGGATATTTGTGCCCGATCACGCTCCCGGATGGGAAGGTCATTTTCATCCCGAGGTCGGTTCTTGCACAGATGCTAGGAGCACATGTATTGTAAATGTCTCGCTGCTCTTGAGGGCCTGGAGATCCTTTCTATGTTGCACTGTTTTGCTACTTCTTTGTGGCCTCTATGTTCCTGTTTTCCATGTGTCGATGGCCCCTCAGCAGCACATCCGACGACTGTGATGATGCATGCTCGTACAGTAGGAGGCGAGAGCGATGTTTTTCATGCGCCTGGCCCCTGAATTTCATGCAAACTGCAAGTGTCGTGAAGACCCGAATTTGGTGCATCGAATTTTCAGCATGCCTGCATTGAATTCAAGAATATGAATTTAAGCCTGCGAATTTGGGAATGATCATAGGTCGTCTTTTGCAACAGTACCGAGCATCCACAGCCAAGCAGAAGAAATGCCGCTTCGAGTGTCTTCTTGGACGACCCCACACAAACCCACAACCACCCCTCTCCCTTTGCCCTCTCCCCCCTTTCCCCCCCCCCCCCCCCCGCTCCCTTCCTCCCTAGGTCATGGAGTCTTGTTACACCATAGCCCCAGCGTCTTGTTGCAGCGTACATAGCCATACCCTCCCCTCTAGTGTCAATACATGCCTGCACTGTCATATGCCCTGCTGTTCCTTAGCTCCAAGCCAAGCGTCTTGTCGTTTCTGAGTGGCATTGTTGCCGAACCAGAAGCGAGCCCACTGCTACTCCCGTTGCCCTACAAACACACTGAAGCCTGACAGGATCTTCATGCTCCGCATCACCACCGCGATCGGGGGACGGGCACAAACAGGGCAGTGCTGCCGGGAACCACGCCAAAGCAGGGGTTTGGAGGGTCTTTCCGGCCCCGTCATTCCCGCGTTCTCGTTCGTGTTGTGGGTTCTCCTCCAACCCTCCCTATTCGGGGTCTAGGTAGCCCTAGCCCGCGGCGCTTCTGCCATGGCTCACAACTGCCAGTTTTCTGCTCGCACCTCTGGGTCCTGGCTGGCTTGTGATGGCAGACGATGCCACGCTCTAAATGCTGTTTCGGCCCCTGGCGCGACGACTAGACGACTGCTCTGACCACTGGGACTGCTTTGATGCCACTCATTATTGTGTGTCTCCTTGGATTCCCCACGGAGAGACCAATGATGGGCTGTTCTGGTTATGCTGCCCCTGATGTATGTCCCATAGCTGACACCGCGGACGCAAAACGTATTCTTGGGAGATGCCCGGCCGAGATGATGGAGTCTGTTATGCTGCACTGATGTATGTCTGGCAGCCGAATACATGCTCCACTGAACGCGAGTCTGGAAGCACAGAGCCTTCGTTGTGCATGCATGGAATTTGGGCTATGCTTTCTGCATACCACGGCTTACACCAAACTGACTGCAGCAATCTGGGTGATGCATTGAATTTGGATGCATACGATACAGCGTGAAGGGCCTCTGCCCTGTGGTGTCTACTGACTGGAGTGCCGATGCTGGGCCGTTTTTCCTTGCATCGCTGTCGAGCCTACAACCAGAGGAACGTACCAGTCTGGACGCTTAGACGTACAACGCGCATGAACGGAATTTGAGAATTTGAATGCATGTGCAACTGCATGAAGCTGTCGAGCCCTCATCAGCAAGTGGCAACGGTCTGGACATTTGGGCGTCCAACGAGCATGAATGGATTGGGAATTTGTGTGCATGTGTTGCTGCATGTATGGCATTTTGCCAGTGGGGCCAACTGGACTGAGGATGCCGTGATTTCTGTGTTGATGAGTTCACAGTTTGAGGATGATGCGAATAGCTGCAGGATGCAGGTTGAGGTTGATCGTAGCGCGGATAATGTTTGCTGTCGTCAATGTATGATGGCTTGGGCCACATGTGCCTGTCGTGGGACCAGGGAACCTCGCCAAGGCTTGTCCGAGTGTGAGTGCTGAAACTCTAAGCCCTAAACCCTAAACCCTAAAACCAATGATGGTCTGTTTCGGTTATGCTGCCCTTATGTATTCCCATAGCTGACACCCGTACGCAAAACTATTCTTGGGAGATGCCCGGCCCTGACCCGAGATTATGGATCTGTTATGCGCACTTGATGTATGTCCGAGGCAGCCGAATACATGCTCCACTGAACGCGAGTCCGGAAGCACGAGCCTTCGTTTTGCATGCATGGAATTTGGGCTATGCTTTCCTGCATACCACGGCTTTACACCAAACTGAATTCCGGCACTCTGGGTGATGCCTTGATTTGGATGCATACGATACAGCGTTAAGGGCCTCTGCCCGGTGTTGTCCTACTGACTGTAGTGCCGATGCGGGGCCGTTTGTGCCTTGCATCGCTGTCGAGCCTACAACCAGAGGAACGTACCAGTCTGGACGCTTAGACGTACAACGCGCATGAACGGAATTTGAGAATTTGAATGCATGTGCAACTGCATGAAGCTGTCGAGCCCTCATCAGCAAGTGGCAACGGTCTGGACATTTGGGCGTCCAACGAGCATGAATGGATTGGGAATTTGTGTGCATGTGTTGCTGCATGTATGGCATTTTGCCAGTGGGGCCAACTGGACTGAGGATGCCGTGATTTCTGTGTTGATGAGTTCACAGTTTGAGGATGATGCGAATAGCTGCAGGATGCAGGTTGAGGTTGATCGTAGCGCGGATAATGTTTGCTGTCGTCAATGTATGATGGCTTGGGCCACATGTGCCTGTCGTGGGACCAGGGAACCTCGCCAAGGCTTGTCCGAGTGTGAGTGCTGAAACCCGAACCCTGTAGCTTCAATCCATGTCCTGAGAGCTGTGAACCTTCGAGCCGACAGCTTGGATCACCAACGTCTCTGAAGCCATCACTTCCGACAACTACCGGGTTCCTAAGCCCTGAAGACTAAACCCCAAAATCTCGTCCCTGCTAGGTAGGAGGGTGAAGAAAACCTTATAAATCTTAAACTCTAAAACTCTGAACCCGAAACCCGGAACAGCCCGAAGCCATGGAGAACTTAGCCGGACCGTCCTTCCCACGCTCCTCCTTGCTTCTCCAGGTGTCCGAGGGCGGCGTTCTGGATTCAGAGTCTAGGGTTTAGGGTGTCGGTTTCGCCACGAGTGCGATGTGCTTGGGGATTCTGGCCGGGCGAGCACTAATCAAGCCTGTGGAAAAAAGGGTTTCGGTTTAGGTTTAGGGACTTATGAACGAAAACATGTATCTCACCATGGGGAGTCTATTCAAGGAAGGGGTTTGTGAGCGGAAGCTACCGTTTCACTTCAACGACTTCAACGAGAAAAGGGAAGCAGATGGAATACGAGAACTGTCCCGATCAGTTATTAAGTATTCATTTTATTGTAGTTCGCTGGATGAAGTTGCCAAACAACAAGCACCCCGAGAGGGAGTCATGGGCAGTGGTACAAGTAGGGCCTACTACCCCAAGGGTCCTTACCAAAACATGCGGTACAATATGTACCAAAAACTTATTCTGATCATTAATGCCCCTGCATTAACCTAGTTAATGTCTCCATTGTGTTTAATTCTTTTTTTGGGTTAGACCCATGTCATATCTAGGTTCCCATAAGGTGATCAGAACAGGAGCTACAATGCAGACTATATGTAGATGCAGTGTAGTACGACGCGCACAGAAATTCTGGCGACTATCCACGTTCCCCGGACGAACCTTGTTCGGATGAACCACTAGTATGACATACCACCAGAAACCTACTCTCAAAACGAAGACCCTTAAAGGAAGGTGGGTTTAAGGTTTAGGGCCAGAAAGTCCTTCTTTATACTTGTGGCTACGTAAGCTAGGCCCAACAGCAAATACCAAAACAAGAGCCCTTGCGCTCTTGATGTAGAAGCCACGGCCCAGTAGTAGGATGGTTCTATGGGCCACCGAAAATCATATGGGAGTTTCCGAAAATAGGGGACCTTATCATATGGGTGGTTGTCAAAATTAGGGTTTCTTTTGGGGTCCTTAAAATGATACGGCACCTAATATTTAGGGTACCCAAAAAGGGACCATAATTTTGAAAACCGCCCATATATAGTATATACCCTAAATAGTAGGATCGTTATTAAAAGGACCCCCAAAAATGGTACCCCGAATTTTCCGAAACTCCCACATACTTTCGGAGCCGCGCCAGGGGATGATCTGGCTAGAGGACTGGGTCACAATGCTCCTGGCCACTAGCTCTTGAAGGAGTGCTTTTAGGGTTGAGGGTTAAGGGGGAATAGGGGATATGAAAGGATATGAAAGGTTTTGATAAAGACAACACGAGAACGACTGCCGCGGGTTCGATGGTGAACTGAGTCACTGGATTAACTGCTTGCTGCAATACTGCGTAGGGATACCGTAGTTTCAAGGATTGAGGCCATTGGGTTTCCAACTTTCAAGCTTCTAGCGTAGATCCATTCGCACGTCTCTTCAGAACACGATTTTTGGCTTGATCACAAGCGTTATGCCTTTACTCCGATCTGCTTTGCAGCACTTTCGTTCTATGGTCTTTGTGATTTTCATGTAGGAACGCACCTATGGGACAAGCACTACATGGTTTGCAGGGAACCGGAAGCTGGCATAACGCGCCGTATCCAACCTTCCCTGAAGGCCCAGACCTTGTATGTATGTACCCAGAGGCCCCAAAGTAGTTCCTTTTTGGGGCTCATATATAGAATCCCATAAGGTAATCCCAAAAAGGAACTACTATGGAGCCTCTGGGTATGTATGTATGAGTACATTCACAATATTTCTCCGTGTGTATATAAGTGTATGTACTTGTCTGTTTGTATGACAGATAGATAGACAAGTGTACTTACCCTAAATAACCCTAAGCCCCAAAGCCTGAAAATTGTTGCGGATATGAGGTCAGTGTGGTGCTCGTCCTCTTAATCTGCAAGCCCTTTCTGCGCCTTGCTCTGACAATGGTACCAGGGACACTGAACGTGGCAATACCGGGTAGCTCCTTCTTCCCATTTTTGTTCTTCTTCTGGTGCCATTGACAACGCGGTGCACATGTATCTTAGCACTTACACAAGTGAGGGTTTCTCACATCGAGATATCTTCAAGAAACCTCTGTTCGGGACGGGCGGTCGAGCAGACTCCGCGATGCTGCTTGAAGGCTTCGCACCTGGAAGCAGGCAGTTCCAAGACACTGAATCTCTTCGTCTTAAACCCTAAACCCTTAAACACGAGAAAAAAGCCTTCAACTATCCTAAACCCTAAACCCCTAGACCCTAAAATCTTTCGTCATGCGGAAGTTAATTGCAACTGAAATGTTCACCCAGTACGTGCACGAGACTGGAAGTCGAGGGTCAAGAGCTAGGAACCCCAAAAGCACGTAAGCATAAGCATTTTTGGGGGATATCCCTATCCTCATTTTTTCTTATCTGTTTTGTTGGGGCCCAAATCAGCATCCGTGGTCCTAAGAGCGCTTAGTTCATCAAGGAATATGGGTAGTTCTCTAAGTTATGAAGTCCCTTTTTTAGGTCCCCAAATGTTTAGCAAGGAATATATTGAATATACCCTGGGTCATTATTGTAAGCCTCAGGTTTTAAGGCATGTTCCACAATAAAACTTGACACAAGTGAAGGCAGTTGAGGCCGGCCGGCAAGGGGGGGGGAGTGGGGGGGTGGGGAAGGGAGCCCAAATCGTCTGAAGTACCTCTCGAGCAAAATGCATATCAGGAATCATCATGATGACATGGGAAAATATGCCGCGTTTATGAGTACTTAGGACCCTTTAAAGACAGGTACGCAGGTATCGCGGTTAGGGCTTGCTTGTTTTATCCTCCTTCGTGGAGTCATGGCTTGGGGCATTTCTGCGGAGCAGAGAAGCTGAAATATTGAAAGCTTAGAAATCTAGACTTTCTCCCTCACCCCATACTTAACCTTTACACCCATCCGGAGCCTGAAATCCTAAGCCCTAAACTAAAGCCTAAACCCAGGTATCGGTATCCACCTGGATTGGCAGCCAGCGAGTTCATTCTCATGCTGTGCCATGTGCCTGTGCAGGTGGTGTGCTTGTAGGGTGCCTGTATTTTCTTGCTTGGTTTTTGTCTTTTTGTTTATGAGGGTTTAGGTTTCGGGATTTGCTTGCTTGGGTTTTATGATGGTCTAGAGTTTTGGAACTTTTCCGGCTTGCGTTTTATGAGGGTCTATCTAGGGTTTCTGGATTTTCTTGCTTGGGTGTTATGAGGGCTTAGGGTTTGGGGCTTTTTTTGCTTGGGTTTTGTGAGGCCTTTGTGTTTAGGGTTTGGGATTTACGGCTTGGGTTTCATGAGGGTGCTACTACGGGCTCCTAAAGCGGGCTCGTAAAAGGGTTCTGCAGTTTCTTGTGAGGGCTCTGCCGGGGTTCTAAACGGGCTCCGATAAGAGGTGCAGTGCCTAAACGGAGGTTTTCAGAGCGCTGGTGCTAGGAAAAACCGGGGAATTAGAGTATTCTGTGAACATATCCTAGGGCTCCATTTACCTAATATTTATGTGTTGAGGGTTTAGGGTTTAGGACTGAATGGTTGGTTGCAAGTTGCAAGCAGTTTGTGTTTGACGGCTAGCGGCATTCATCTCCGAGTCCCCTCAAGCCCATCAACTCAGCACAACCCCAACAAACCATGCAGATCTCGAAGCCTGAACCCTATAACTGACATCAAACAAAGCCCAAACCTCATAAATGAACCTGAAACCGTTACAGCACGCCCAGAAACTTTATCTAGCAGAAATTCATTGGACCCCGTACGCAAGAATCTAAACCCCCAAAACCCTAACGCCCCTGCACGTAACCTAAGCCCCCAAACCCCAATGCAGTTTAGGGTTCAGGGTTTAGCGTGAATCAAAAGAAGGAGCCAAGGTAGGGGCTTAGCAGTGGGGCTCTTTACACATCACCAGGCGGCGCGAAGCTGGCTGGGCACGGCTGGCAACAAACAGGCATGCAGGGTTTGCCCATTAGATGGCTCCGAGCTTGTGGTTTAGGGTTATGGTCAAGAATATTCGGGTGTCTAGTCTGTGGTTTGCTGGTCCGGTTTCCTAACTATACCCTATAGTTGTATCAGTGAGCTTGTTAAGCAACAGGCGGAACGACACGCAGTGTGTGCAGATTATGCCGCTTGCGTGTTATTCACCCGTTCGAGATTGACGAGGGCGTTAGTTGGGAGAAGGTTCCGCTTCTTTAAAGTGGTTTCGGGCTGAGAGTACATATTCTACCACGGGCTTAACCAATTCGTAATCATATCCCGCTGTCGTCCCTGTATAGTCGTATTCTATTAAGCACCGGAAACCTTTGTTCTATTTAGTATACGGGACGAAGGGCGTTTTTGGATTTGGGGCCTAACTTGAACGTATGCGCCGTTTTTACGATTTGCGGCTTTAGGAGGGACTGCAGGGTCTAAGATAGGGTTTAGGGTTGGGGTCTGAATGTCTACCCAAAGGCCCCAAAGTAGTTCCTTTTCGGGGTTCATGTATAGAATCCTATAAGGTAATCCCAAAACGGAACTACTTTGCGGCCTATGGGTAGTACCACTATTCCATCAGTATCCCTTCAGGCTCCCAATCGAAAGACGTACTTCTTAAGTCCACCCCCTCCCGCAATAAGGATTAAATTAGCGGGTTTGCTGCGGAGGCCCTTGAAGATAGCCCAACACGAAGGTGTCGAATAGCATCGGGCATCAGATGTTCTCTCTTGGGGCAAATGTCTGGGCAAACCAACCCGATCTCTTAATGTCGTAGAGCAGAAACGGATTCGCCTTAGTAATCGGTCCTTTCAGGGGTGCCAGTAACAGATTAGTTTAATACCGCGATGAACAGTCCATTGAAGGGGTTGTGGTTCTACTCCCAGACATCAGCATGTTGAACATAGGCTATAGGTATTATAGGATTCATATCTGTGGCCGAAGCAACCCACCTTCTGATAAATCCTGGACAAGGTAAAGTTTTTTGGCCACAGATTGGGCTTAGGTTAAGACCCAAGGCCCCATGCCTGTCTACTACGATGCAGTTCTGAGTTCTGAGTGCTCAGAAATCCAAGACCTTTCACCGCAAATTGCTTTAAACCCTTAAGCCCCACACCATGAAACCCGAATGTCGTACACCCTGAAACCCTAAACCCAAACTAAAACCTAAATCTTATAACCCCACGAGTCGTCGTAGGAACGCGCGATGTTTGTAGCGGCTTTCCTTGGCCTCAGCTCCTGGACCATCCTAGCAGCTCGTGCTCATTTTGGGTTTAGGGTAGGCTTTGAGAGTTTCAGCAACCATGCGAAAGGGCGCTCAAATAGTGTAACCCAGACATAAGGAGCCAGCATTCGGGAGTTTAGTTTAGTGTTCCTTGTTCGTGAGGGCCTTGCGCGTCGACGCCTTGATTGGCTTGACTGGTTAACTACACAACTACAGGTAAAGCTTGTTTGTGTTTCGGATGCAAGGTGTCGGGTTCAGGGTGTTAGACCGGTATTGGAGTTTCAGGGCGCGTCTTCGCCCTTGAGCCTCTGATGCTGGGCAATTGCAGATCTAGCAGGCAAACGGGTCGTCTCCCACAGCGGACCACTAGTCGGACATGCTTCAGTGCTGGCCATCATGATCCCATGTGTTATCGCCACCGCAATAGTTGAAATACACATAGCAAATAGAGACTTGTGCAAATAGATACTTGTGACCCAGAGGCCCCAAAGTAGTTCCTTTTTGGGAATTACCTTATAGGATTCTATATGAACCCCCAAAAAGGAACTACTTTGGGGCCTTTGGGTACCGGCAAAACCCTGAACCCATCACCTTGAAACCCCGGATCCCCAAGCCCTAACCCTATCCCTCCAAGGACCTCATAGTTACTACTATATGCTTAAGAAACCCACCAAAAAATAAAAATACTTATCCCTATATTACCCCCATAAGGAATATACTTTTAATTTTTTGGGGGGTTCTTAAGCAAATAGTAGGTTAGGGCCCTAGAATCCTTAGGGACCCCATAATAAGGTCCCTGGAGGCATAGGGTAAAGCCAGCCCTAGCTTATCACCATATAAGCTTTAATTAGCCACAATCGCAACCCTAAACGCCCTACACCAATGCGCCTAAGTTGGAAGCTGAGGTGACCGGCTACTTCTTCCTTCTGCAGGCTTATGCCCTCTATTTGGAGAGCCGCCTTGGCCTGCAATTGCGCACGGCACACGCCAGAAAGTTGCTACATGGTTTCAAGATATGAATATACTGGGTTCCCTTCAGGGTCTTCCAACTTTCTGTAGTCAACTCTAACTACTGCGCATATCTCCAAGGATGTCGCGAACAACGGGACACTACAGCCTAGACCTTGTTTTGGGTTTAGTTTAGGCCAACAGCATAGTAATTCAGCTGGAGAGACATATCATGACTTTCCTCGGTCGACTTCCCAAGCCCAGATGTAAAAGGGTTTAGGGACGCTGGTGATCTGCTTTGTGGCTGCTCCTCACGAGGCTTTGTGCTTGGACGCTGTGATGTTGTCTGTTTCCTGGTGCTTGAAGAACTCGTACTGTACAGACCTTCTGAAACCCGAAAGCTTGCAATTTCAATCCACGTCGCAAGACAGCTGGAACTCTCTCGGAATATGCACGTGCTGTTTGACTTTCCGCCTTCCTACTACCATGGCCCCTGGAAAACAAGATTTGGGCTTCAAGTAGTCGGGAGGCCATTAGAAGGAACAATCCCAACATACAGCCTGAATCGGCAGCCTGATTATTTCGTACGTCCGTAATAATACTACTCTGTCGGGAATTCCCGATTATGGCTATGATATATCACACCCACAACCCTACTCAATTTATTCAGGTTCCTGTAAATGCTAAACCTCGCAGCAGTGACTATACCCAGCAAGCGATCGTTATTCTAATATTCCCAAACCCCCCCGAAAACCAAGGCATCTTGGCTGGAACGGCATTAGCCCTCGCTCTCTTCGAAACGCTCCAGGTGCTGCCGGGCTCAGAGTTAAGGGTTTGGTGGTTTAGGGTTTACCCAAACCACTATGGGTTATTAGACCTTATGGGTGCCTTAATCTACCCTTAATAGGGTCCTAATAGGGATCTTTAGGGTCTAATAGCCCATAGTGGTAGGCTCCACAGTAGTTCCTTTTTGAGATTACCTTATAGGATTCTAAATACGAACCCCCAAAATTTCAAAAGGAACTACTATGGAGCCTCTAGGTAGAGTTTCCTGTTACGGAAGTTTATGTTAAGCTACCATACCACGTAACTGCGGCAAGACATCTCGCAGGCAAACCATGCAACATATTTTGGGATCTCAGGTCCAACAACCTTTCTTTAATGTAGGGGCCTTAATAATTAGAATAGGGTTTAGGGGGATGTTATACTATGTACATACTAAGGACCACACCCCAACATTGGTAATTCTATAGGCTCCAAACCCTAAACCCTAAAAACCCTATAGTATTTAAATCGCTCTAAGCCCTGAACCCTAGACCAGGCTTCCTGCGAGGCGGATTGTTCTTCTGGGCATTGACGAATTACAGCGTGGAGTTTAGGGCCTAGGGCTTCTGGGGTATTAGGGTTTAGGGCTTTAGGGTTTAGGATCTATAGGGTATACAGAAAACCCCATACAGTTGGAAACCGGATTCAGGCCAAATAGTGCTGGGATTCCCCATGCACTACTCTTCAGGGTTAAGGCTACGTGGTTTCCAACTTCTATTGCATCTACTTTTTGTTCTCGCTCTAAGAGTCCCCCATAAGGGATCCTTTAACAGTACCTTCAAGGGTCCATGTGCTCATATGCATAGTATATACTGTGGGTTCAAAGTAGTCTGTATGTACATGCTTGCGTACTGTAGGGCCCTAGTATATACTATGAAGGAGGAGCCCTTGAAACCCTTAACGGCCAGAATCCTCGAGCTCAAAGCCACACAGGCTCTAGACCCGAAAGCCCGTAAATCTCAGTATCCCTGAAGAACCTCCGAAATTAATTTGAAACTTGAAGGGAAAAGAGCCCTGATCGCTCAAGATTGTGTGGAGTGTGCATTAATTGTGAGTGCTGAAACCCTAAACCGTGCTAAAGGGGGCCTGGAGCGGCAGTTCCTTTTGCGACGGCCTGCTGGAGCCTTTGCAGCACTGCAGAGGTTTTGGCTTTGGGTCTTTATAGAGTTTGAGAGTTTCGGCATTGGGGATTTCGGGCCCGAGGGTTTCAGGTCTTGAGAAAAAGGGGTTTCGAGGTAAGGGGCTCAAAGCCGGCCCGCAACCCTTGAACCACGATATAGGTTTTTTAAACCGTTAAGCCCCTGTAAACCCAAAAATCCCTAAACCCTTAAAGCCTTAGCCCTTAATCCCTTATAGATCCCTAAACCTATAAAATCGCTAAACTCTAAACCCCAAACCCTTAAAACCGTAAGCCCTTATACCCTAAGCCCTTAAGCCGTGGACGCTTGAAGCTGCGGCTCTGAGGAGTTTGCCTCGGTATTTCTGAGTTTCGTCGCAGCGGCCGGGAGCGCAGCCCTGCTGTACAGCCTCTGGCCGGCTTAGGGCTGCAAGAGCTCAGTCTCTACCTTAACCCTGAAGGACCTACGGTTTTAAGGACTTATACAGGGAGATCATAATACGGAACCTTAAGAAGGCAGGTTATCCAGGGTTCAGGTATCTCTCGATCTACCTATCTATCTACCTATCTACTTTGGCCGGCTTAGGGCTGAAAGGGCTTAGGGTCTGGGAGTCTGGGGTTCAGGGTAACGGGTTGCGTTTCGGAAGTTTAGGTTTCAGGGGTGACGGCTTATAAAGGCTTACGGTGTTTACGGTTCGTGTTTGTGTGCGTGGCTTGTTGTTGTCTCTCTCTCTCTCTCTCTCTCTCTCTCTCTCTCTCTCTCTCCCTGCCTAATGTCTCTCTATATCGGATCTATCCATCTATCTATCTATATCTCTATCTCTCTAGCTATCCATCTACCCTCACATTAAGCATCATACTTATAAGGTCTTCGCGGACCCAAAATCCTATGCCGAGGAGTACTTGCACCCACAGCGTGAGTAAATCCTAAACCCGAAGCACCAAAAGGAGCGATGCTTAGAACTTTACGTTAAGCCCTGAAACAATTGCAATCATTACACCTAATCCTCGAGATTTCAGCCCTTCAACTCCGGGTGTCAACGAAAATGCTGCAAAGACCAGCAGTCGTCGAGCAAAAAGATGGCAGAGAGTGTGTGCGGGCCTTGGGGCATGGCGGTTCACGATTTCCGTGTTTAAGATAAAGCTGTAGGATGTTGCTCCTATCCAGTACTGATGATGCTTGCACGTATTGAAGAGCTCCGAAAAGTTATTAGACGTTTAGTTTATCTCTTCATGATCTGAAGGTTCGTGGCTGGCTATGTGTATATATATATATATGTGCCTTATTTATCTTGATGACTTCGGAGGGTTTAGGCAAGTGTTCGTGGGTTGTACACGTGCGCAGCCGAGCAGGTGCCAACGACGTACGACTTACAAACCCAGTTGGCGCCTGTAGTTCATGAAGGCATTGGGGTCAAGGGTTTGAGATGTGCGTTTAGGCGATGTGGTTCCAATCTGCAGCCGGCACTGGCTCAAGATTCACGTGTCCCCATTACTAGTATCCGCTACTGAAGATCATGGCGTCTCTCCACGCCCAGCAGATCGAGATGCTCGTGGCATGCACGTGCAACTGCTTCTCCTCTGTGGGGCCACCCGGCCCAGCTCTGACGGATGTTTTCTACAAGCTAGAGATTGACAGGAGGGTTTCCCCTAAACCCTAAACACACCCTAAGCCCTTTTCAAGGTTTTCGGGCACGGTGCTTGCCAGTTCCGTGGCTTTAGGTTGTAGAGTTGCAGGGGATGTAATTCATGTCTTTCTCTATGCTTCCAGGGACCCTATTATTGGGTCCGTAAGGAATCTATGGCCCTAACTATAAGGTCCTTGGAAGCAGAAGGCTTGTGTCCACAATCCCATATCCCCAAGCCGGGGAAAGCCCGTAGACTATCCCTGGACCCCGAACCTGTTTCTGTAAACCACAAGTTCGAACTTCTATATACCAAGTCCGACCCTCCAAAGGCCCCAAACCATGCATTTTTTAATGGCCCCCTTCTAGATCAATTGACAGGGCCCTACAGGGAATTTCGTAAGAATCACAGCCGAGGTGAGCACAGAAACCCCCAATCCTAGAAAGCCCTAGACTTTGAAACCCTGAAAACTGGATGGCCCGAGTTGGGAGAGTTTCTTTAAACCCTGAAAACCACAAACCCAGCCTAGGCCTAACAAGCAACCCTCCGGCAAAAGTGAGGATGCTCCTCTTCAACAAGCTGGCTGTCCAGGCGCTCCCCTTGGAGTGCAGCCTCTTTGATGAGTCGTCGGTATGCTTTGGGGCTGTTGTTGCGACTGTACGGCCTAGGGTGTCGAGTCTAATTTTGTGGGGTTTCGGGCGTTAAAGGGTCTAGGTTTTAGGTTTTGCGAATTGGGTTTTCTAAATCTGAGCCCATCAACAGCTCTGAACCCTAAACCCCTAAGATTCGTCTTCTCTTTTCCTTTTTGTTCCAAACCCCTAGGATCCTTTCTTCTTTGTTTTTCCTTTCCAAGCCCATATAAATCCAACCCCGATAGGGCTAAACCCAAAACCCTAAACCCTAAGCCCTAAACCCTAAACCCTAAACCCTCAACCCTAAACCCTAAGCCCTAAACCCTAAGCCCTAAACCCTAGCAGACCCAGGCCTGGTTTGGCTACAGCTCTTCTTTGCTGCCTTCTTCATGCTGCTCGTCCACTAGGTAGCCGCGTGAGTACTCTTTGCACTTTTGGGATAGAACTCAAAGTGTGCATCTTGAGGGGGTTATGAACTCCGCAACTAGGTCCCGGGTAGTGTGGAAACAAACAGAGCTTAATTTTAGCATGCCTAGCCTAGCCTAGAAGGTTTCCATCGTAGCAATTTTACTAAGGATGTATAACGTCTCTTTTAGAGTATGTGTTTTGTGTTGACATGCTGAAAGTCTAGGTCCCGTGGTATCCTTATTCCGTTCTTGATTTCGGATATTTTCACAAGTGCCAGCAACAGGAATTACAGGGGCAAGGATACTGACAGTAGCAAGGTTTTGCTCGTGAACCTAGATAACTCGAAAAAATCTTACCCTAACCCAAGGTATTGCAAAGGGCTTGCTTGCGGTAGGTCAATATTTTGAAGTAGTTGCAAAAAAACAAAGTTGCAAAGCTAAACCATCAAGTCCATGCAAAAGCCATAGCCCAAAAATCGTAAGGCCTAAACCCTAAACCTTAAACCCCTTGCCTTTGAGGCTCATCTTCGGCTTTCCTTACTTGCACATCGGCTCCATGCGGGACTTCTTGCGCTGGTGCATGGTGGTGTCCTTAGTGAGGTTTTGATACAATGATGGCTTAAGTTGAAGGTACCCTAAACCCTACACACCCGTTACCCCCGCCGTTGTAAATCGGTATTACGAACTTGTGGTTGGCCTGATATCTCCCTTGATTGGGCTTGTGAAAGGCCCTGTAGGGCCTTATAGAAGGCCTATGCAACACTGCAGAATGGTTCTTTTAATTCAACCTGTTACATTCTGCTTTATAGAATTTTGGCAGGATTGCAAGTGAACTTCACCCAGCCCAGACATTTCTCTGTGGGGCCTGGAGGGATCCTTTAACGCTGTTCTTCCAGCGCCTTTATCCCCAGTGCAGAAACCTAAAACCCCAAACCCTATACCGCACGACAAAACAATGAATCCCTAAACCGAGCCCCATAAAACCCTAAACCCCTAAACCCAAAGCCCGAAACTCTGTAAAGCAGGAGAGAAACAAACTCCCCACACCCTAAAACCACCCTAAGAAAAGAGCGAAAGGTGGTGCCCTGCTTTTGCGGCATGCTCTTGACCTCCATCCTTGCCTTGCACCTCAGCATGAGCAGCATTTTAGTATCTATGCACTTGTAGGGATTTAGATTGGGTTTCGGGGTTTGGGGTCTAGGTGTAGAGCTTATGGGCTGGCACAGGGCCGTGTAGAGCAAACAATAGAAGCACCAAGCCCACAATGACGACTGTTGCCGAGAGACTCCGCCGTCCCGCTGCTAAGGAACAGCCCTGATACGGGAGTTTCCGAAGCTTAGGGGTAACTATCTTGTTTTGGGGTCCTAATAGTAAGGATTCTACTGTTTAGGGTACTATAATGTACTATGTTAGGGTCGCCTATTTTCGGAAACTCCCGTATAGAGGCGTGAATGACAGTAGGGCTGTGGGGTCTATCATGCTTGTATTACAACAGGAGTCTGTTGCTGCTTACGACGGCCAGGATAACTTTGAACACTTACATCCTGGGTCTTTGCAGGCTTTGGGTAACACACCTGTTAACACGCATGCGCCTACGGATCGCCATCCCGAAATGTTCGGAAGAAGCCGAACCTCTCCTGTAGCAACTTTGGGGTAATCTTATGACGCAAGACAGCACGACAACCTCCCAGCAAAAGTGCCCTTTTCAGCCCACTTCCACACGGCGGAACAGTACCGAAACACCCAACCTTAAACCCAGTGCACCGGACACAAATCCCACTTAACATCCTAAACAAACCACATAATAAAGCTCGTTCACAGCCTTAGCCCTAAAAGCAAGCCAAAGTCAAGAAGCGTATTCGAGGAAGAGCGCCCCTATGTCCCTGGTCATCGTGCTTCGCAGTGCCTCACCACTCTTCTCCCTGCCTCGCGGCTTAGGGATTGGGGGGTTTAGGAGGTGTGGTGAAGGAGTTCAGCGTCTGGCTTTAGTATTGGGGTTTGGGGTTAAGGAGTTGTGGCATATGCATAGTCCAGGTTTAAAAAAAGGAGTAGTGGTGTAGGAGTTCAGGGTCTGCGGTCCGGGTTTAGGATGTGGGTTTGGGGTCTGGGTTTTGGGGTTGGGGTGTCTAGGGTTTAGGGCGTAGAGAAGGTGGAGCAGGTTTCGCCAGAAGGGTTGATGTAGAAGCATCCTCTTGGCAAGCAAGCTTTCCCAGGCAACCGAAAAGTGCACCAAGAAACATTCCCATTCCGAAGTCTTCAGAGATCTTGTGGTACTTCGGGACCACAGACGTGATTCTGCTGTTAGGGTCGTTCCTTTCGTACAAAGAGTGCCCGGGAATAGGACCATCACTCGCAAGCACTCGTCTTTTCACACAGCCTCCTCATATAGTTCGCAATTTGCACAAAACCCTTATGTAGTAACCCTTACTTACATCGTCAGTTTCATCACACCCTTTAGGATTCCCCCTCAGTCACAAAGGCTCATCGAGCGCTTCTACCCTGAGCCACTTCGCATCAGCGGTCAGATGGTCGGAGCCATCCTTGTCATGGTTGCCGGAGCTGTGATGCATCTTCCTCTTGATACCTATAGTCTCCATTGTAGTTCCTTTTTTGGGTTACCTTATTATAGGATCCTTGCTATATAATATATTGGTTAAACCAAAAACAGGAACTACAATGGAGACTATCAATTGAGCACGGTTCAGGGTTGTTAGGGGGGTTGGGGTATAGGGGTTACAGGCTTGTCGATATTGATGAGGA